AGATCAATATTTTTTAATTTTAATGAAAATACACTTAAATTGTCTTTAAATATAAAATTTCCCTTAAAGGGAAATTTTTAAAATATAAGGAAAATTTCTATATTTTTGTAAAATTTAGCTTATTAATTAAATTTTAACAAAATTATACAGAAATTAATATAAATTTTTCAAAAACTAAAATTTTCCTTAAAGGGAAAAAATATGGAGAATTTCTAAACTAGTTTTAAATTTTTCTTATTTAATTAATTTGAAGTAAAATTATGAAAAAAATAATAAAATTTCCCTTAAGGGAAATTTTTAAAATATTAGTAATATTTCTAAATTTTTGTAAAATTTCTCTTATAAACTATATTGAAACAAAATTATGGAAAAATTAATAAAATTTCCTCAAAAACTTAAATTTCCTTTAAAGGGGAATTTTTTAAAAATAAAGGAAATTTTTAAATTGGTATAAAATTTCTTTTATAAACTAAATTGAAACAAAATTATGGAAAAATAAATAAAATTTTCTCAAAAACTAAAATTTCCCTTAAAGGGAAATTGTTAAAATATAAGGGAAATTTCTAAATTTTTGCAAAATTTCTTTTATAAACTAAATTGAAACAAAATTATGGAAAAATTAATAAAATTTTCTCAAAAACTAAAATTTCCCTTAAAGGAAAATTTTTAAAATATAAGGGAAATTTCTAAATTTTTGCAAAATTTCTCATATAAACTAAATTGAAACAAAATTATGGAAAAATTAATAAAATTTTCTCGAAAACTAAAATTTCCTTTAAAGGGAAATTTTTTAAAAAGAAGGGAAATTTCTAAATTGGTTTATAATTTATCTTATTAATTAAATTTAAACAAAATTATGGAAAAATTAATAAAATTGTCTGTAAAACTAAAATTTCCTTTTAGGGAAATTTTTTAAAAAGAAGGGAAATTTCTAAATTTGTGTAAAATTTATCTTATTAATTAAATTTAAACAAAATTATAGAAAAATTAATAAAATTTTCTCAAAAACTAAAATTTTCCTTAAGGGGAAATTTTTGAAAAAGAAGGGAAATTTCTAAATTGGTGAAAAATTTATCTTATTAATTAAATTTAAACAAAATTATGGAAAAATTAATATAAATTTTTCGAAAACCAAAAATTCCCTTAAAGGGACATTTTTAAAAAAGAAGGGAAATTTCTAAATTCTTATAAAATATGTAAATGAAACTTTCAAAAATTGTTGATATTTAAATAATAACAATATTAAAGAAAGTTATTAAAAATTTACCAAAATATAAAAATTCCCTCTAAGGAAAATTTACTTATACAAAGGAAATTTTCAAAATTTCGTATTTTTATATATATTTTCAAGTTAAAATACAATTTATGACAAATTGTTAAATTGAATTATCCCTCTTAGGAAAATTTCCAAAATTTTATAAAAATTATTTAAAAAAAACTTAAAAATAAGATTTTCCAATTAAAATTTCTAACATTTTATTTAATTTCAATGTTTTATTTAAATCTAAATAAATTACTAAGGGCCAATATCGCAACCTCCGATTATCGTTTAACAGGTGGATATATTGCCGGTTAAAATAATTTTTGTATGTAAAATGTCAATTTATCGTTATGATAAAACATAATCAGACAATGAGAAAACTTTTTGAACTTTTATAAAGATTAATTTTTAAATTAATAACAAACTCTCGAGCAAAATTATTGCATAACATTAAAACAAGTTCGTTTTCTAAGTCTTTTGATTTTTCATGAATATTCATGGTAAATTAAAGACTTAATGTTAATATTAATTTCATTTACATAAATATTTAAATAAAACACCACAAAAACAAACAAAATAAATGACTATATCCAAGAAATTGTTACATAAGAAAGTAAAAACTGTATGCAAAATAACTGTGACTTCCTTTCACACTGTAAACTCCATGAAATGCTAAATAATTCCCATGAATTTCATAATAAATAAACCAACGTCTCCAACAACTAGAAAAGAGAAAAAAAAACAAAAACACTTACCTTTTCAACCTAAATACAGCAAGAACTACAATATTTACTATGAGTAAAAATTAAATGAATGAATGAAATAAATAAAAACCAGACATAATATGACTAACGTGTCATGTTTAACATTAAATTGTTGTTGTTGTTGTTGTAGTGGCAGTAGCAAACTTTAGAAGTTGTTAACAAGGCCACTGTTCGAAATAAAAGCCAACAACAAAGTTAGTTCTATCCCAGCAGCCACAACAAATTGTCTGGCGAGGTTCTTGCAAACAAATTGTCTTTTAAACTCACATACACAGATACTCACAACAACAACAAAATTACTAAAATAAATAAACTATAAACACGTGAGCTGATTAGAAGCAGGAACAACAAAAAGAACGTTAAAGTAAAAAAGAATAAATGGAATAGCTGTAGCAGCAGCAGCAGCAGACGTAGTAGTGCTGTTAGTAATTTGTTGCTGTTGTTTTTTATTGCTGCTGCTGCATTATTGTTCTTTGGGTTAATAGCACACTTGTCTTGTCCAATAACTTTAGCACATGGTAAAAGATGTTTTATGACTGTATTTAAAAAAAAGTCTAGAGTCAATGTTGTCTCTCCATAAAATAAAAAAACGAAAAACTTTAAAAAGAAGTCTAAAATCATAATAAACTATAAAGTTTAAGAGAATAATTTGCTAGTTTTAAAATTTATGAATTAAGAGAGGCAATGAGTGTGTTTAAAAGTTAGAGAGTGTTAAGATAAGATGTTGTGATGATTTATTTGTAAACGAGTTGCCAGTTAACGGGGAAATGTTTTAGTTGAAAGTGGTAATGTTTTGTGTAAACAATTCACAAGTGTTGCAAACAAACTTAGATATTGTGAATGAACAGTTTAGAGAACCAAGCAATTTTTTCCTCGTTTTTAAACTAAAATGGGAAGAGAATGGAACATAATATTATTATTGGAAAACATTATTGAACTTGTAAACAATTTCCAGTTATTAGGATAGAATAAACACCAACTATTATGAATGAACAGTTCTCGAAACATTCACGATATAAAATATAGCTGGGATACAACATTTATACGATGACATCGTCCAAAGATCTTTGGATCGACAACCGTAGTCTCTATATACAACTCTCTCACTCACAATAATAGAAACCAAGTTTTTTATCACTTTAAACACTTAATTCTCTATCATTCGAGATACCTCGTCATAAAAATTGAAATCTCTTTACCTTTTATGTATCCAGATAAGTTCGAGGATCGAATAAACCGATGTTTAATTTTACTTATTCATTACACATATATAAAAGCTCAATGTTGTAAAAATATAGTGAGAAAGATTGCTTAGTCAGTTTTAAACAAAAACCAGTAGTTATAGATTAGCAAGAAAAGCTGAACCCATTGTAGAACCCACGAGCAAGAATAGATCCCTTAAACGACACTTGAAATTTCCAAATAAAACCAACCAGTTTCTCTGATAATGAGATGAATGGATGGATCAACATACATATATAAAAGCTCAGAGTTTTGAAAAGTTAGAGAGAGATTGCTTAGTTAGTTTTAATCAAAAAAACAGTTGAAAGTTGTTATCGATTTGCAGTAAAAACTAAACCTTCTAGGTAGAAGGGATCAACAGTTGATACTTCTAAATTAAGGCAACCAGATTCTGCGACAATGATATGGATGGATTTGAGATATATTCTGAACAACTTCTTCGAACCTACAAGGAGTAAAGCTTTATAAATCCCTTTAAAAGGATTTGATTTTCTCCTTTAACGTAGGTATCTTGGGCAATAAAGATATATCGACATATCCCAGAAACGCTAATTATGTGTCAACTGGATTAACTTGAAGCTTCAAGAAATAAAGCTTCAAGCTCCAAAACGGTTTTGATCTTTCCCCTTTAATGTGTTTGTCTTGGCCAATTCATCAGCTATACAATTATTATTATCGAAACCCATAATTGATATATCCTAGAATGTAGCATTGTAATCATTCCCTCATATCTCTTGCGAATCTATAACGGGCGCCAAAAGACGATTTTTTCTATTCTTTTTTTAAAGCAGCTTTTTTAGAAATTGAAATATATGTCTCTTTCTCTCATTGAATTAGTTACTGATCCATCATTATATCTCATAAAAACCAAAGTCTCTCGATCTCTTAGTTATAGTAGCAATATACAGTTAAGTTCAGTCAATAACATTTAATCTGCTCTTTGTTCAATCTTGATGCATGTCTTAGGATTCTTTTGAAGAGATCGTTCTCTCCAAATAGATTAGAAAAGATAAACAACAAACAACAAAACCTTGATACGTGTTTATTTTTGTTTAAATGTGCAGGAATCCTTCAAAATTATTTCTATTTCGGCGATAGACTATCGAACACTTGGTTCCAATAACTTATCAGAAGGAATTTGCAATCAAACTTGAACTTTTTAACACCTCTAACTACTCTTAATGACAAATAAAAGATCTTTTGGAGATTTTGCTTACTTTCAATAAGTCTTTGAAAATAACTTACAATCTGGCATCTCGCGCCTCATTATTACTATGATTTTATGAGTGTTTGTATGTATATTTAGAAAACTGTCAAGTTAACAGCTTTCTTTTAGCCACAGCTAATAAACCAAGCAACTAACAACATTCACTTGTAACCAAGACTTGTTCGAAGCATCTACTTTAAGTTTAAAATAACGCAGAAAAATAATAAAATCAAAAGAAAAACGAAAGATACATTTAAAATTATAAAAAAAGAAAAGAAAAACAACAGTAACAACAATAATAATAAAAATAATAAAAAAAGAAAAACAACTTTATAGAGTGAAACTTTTTTTCTCAGTTGATTTGTTTTCAAAAAAAAAATTAAAAATTATTATAAAAATTAAAAAAATTTAAGTAATGGCTCACATTAAATATTATAAAAAAAGGTTAAAATTTTAAACAATTATCTTTCAAAAATGTTAAATAAATTATTGATTAATAAGTTTTCTTTTCTCTTTCTCATTACAGTTAAAAAAATTGTGTGTGCATTTTATTTATGTTCATCCAAAACTTCGGACGTTACGGTATAAATTAAGGATCTTTAAAACTATCTCCCTATCTACTTTTTTTCACACACCCCCCTCTTAAAACCACAACACACATACACACACAATGGGACGACAACATAGGCATAGATCAAATTGGCTGGCGTTATTTTGTTTAGTGTTAACCCTAAAAGTGAGTATTTTACAAAAAATCTTATTCATATGTTTAGCCGAAAGAAAATAAATATTTAAAAAGTGAAATTTATTTATAATTTAAAATTTTTTTGTATGTAAACAAACAAAAGTAACTGTTTTTAAACATTTTTTTATTTTTATTACTAACCCATTTCATTTGTTTCGAGAAAAAAAAAATATTAAACAAAAATCTAACATTTATTTAAATGCAAATTTATTGAATGTTTTTTTTTTCTCTAACAATACGGTTTATAAGAGAAAGAGTTTAAAGCAGATGGAGAAGAAAAAAAAACTATAAACTATAGTAATTCAAATAAATTCCCTCATTCATTGATGTGTTTGAATTCATACATACATAGATTATGTATCTATTGGATATGCTTTACATACATATATAATATTTATATAGATTTGTTTACATATTTATACACTAAGAAAAATTTTTTTTAAAATTACAGTTCGTACCCAAGTTTAAGTTACACAGATCATGCAAGGAAAAATCAGTACTTTATTTATTTTAACACCAAAAAACACCGCAGTACCCCCAGGACATACATATTAAGTACTTTTTATTTCATAAATTTTTGCTAATTATCCCATATAAGAGTCAATAGATAAGTTCATAGACTAATCAATAGTCAATATATAGTTAATCAAGTCAATAGACAGTCACATCCGATGACTAGTCCACAGACTATCATATAAACTAGTCCGTAGTCCATAGTAGTATAGACTAGTTTATAGTCTAGTACATTGAGAAGTCAACTGAGCAGAACAAATACTAGTCAATAGACTAGTATATAGACTAGTTTTATAGACTAATTTATAGTCAGTAGACTAGTCCATAGACTAGCATATTAGCTATTCTATAGTCTAATCCATACTCTAGCTCATATACTAGTCAATAGACTAGTTTATAGACTAGTCAATATATTATTTTATAGACTAGTCAATAGACTACTTTATAGACTAGTCAATAGACTACTTTATAGACTAGTCAATAGACTAGTTTATAGTCTAGTTCATCTAGTTCTAGAAGAGAATTGACCAGACCAAATACTAGTCAATAAACTAATAATCAGACTGTCCATAAACTAGTCTATAGACTAGTCCATAGACTTTATAGTAGTCTTTGACTTGAGTAGTCCATATATTAGACTAGTCCATAGTCTTGTCAGAAGTCAATACTCCAGTTCATAGACTAGATAGCACTAGTCCATAGATTAGTTAATAGACCAGTCTATTAACAAGTCACTTGACCAGTCCAAATACTAGTCATCAGACTTGTCCATAAACTTGGCAATACTCTACTTCATTGACTAATCGAAGACTAGTAAAAGCAGCAACAAAAAGGTTTTCCCAAGAGGAATCATAAAAAGAGTTAGTTTTCCGCCCATCTGGTGAGTAACTTAAGTACTTTGTTATCGGTCCTTATCTTTAAAATGTTTTCCATTTACTATTCTCTTTTTTCTTAATGAAAACTTTAAACTGTATATTCTACTTGATTGAGCAATCAAAGACTGGTAAAGACAATAATATAAAGGGTTTTCTTTCCAAAAGGAATCATACGAAGAGTTAGTTCTCCCCCCTTTGGTGTGTAACTAAAGTACTTTTGTTATCGGTCCTAATCTTTAGAATGTTTTGCATTTACTGTTCGCTTTAATTCTTAATGAAAACTTTAAACTGTCTTTTATAGTCTAGTTCATTGAGAAGTCAATTGAACAGACCAAATACTAGTCAATAAAGTAATCATAACACTTGTCCATAAATTAGCCCATAGACTTTACTACATTGAGTAGTCTCTAGTCTTGTCTATTCAGAAGTCAATACTCCAGTTCATAGACTAGTTAACAGACGAGTTTATAGACTAGTCCATAGATTAGTTAATAGTCCAGTACATTAACAGGTTAATTGACCAGTCCAAATACTAGTCATCAGACTTGTACATAAACTAGTCAATACTCTACTTCATTGAGCAATCAAAGACTGTTATAGGCAGCAATAGGAATCATAAAAAGAATTAGTTCACCCCCATCTGGTGAGTAACTTGAGTACTTCTGTTATCGGTCCTAATCTTTAGAATGTTGCCCATTAACTGTTCACTTTTATTCTTAATGACAATTTTAAAATGCTCTCGGTAAATTCGACGATCGAATAAACTGTCTTTTAATGATGTTTAACGTTATCTCCAATCACAATTTTATGTTTATATTCACCATATATAGAAGCTCAATGTTATGAAAAGCTAGAGAAAGTTCCTAGTTTTTATACAAAAAAGTAAGTTGAAAGAAGTTTTTGATGAAAAACTGAAACCATTGTAGAACCCATGTCATTTAATCCACACTTGATACTTCCAACTTAAACCAACCAGATTCCCTGATAATGGTATGAATGTTTCTAGTTTATATTCTTTTCATAACTATATGGAGATAAGCTCAATTCTTTTCATAAAAGAATCCATAAAACAATTGACTTGTTCTCCCTAATAGTATTAATCTACTCCATTTAATGATACTTTCTTGAACAAACCCATCAGCTATACAGTTATCATGACTAAAGGTCCATATTTGAGATATACTAAAATGTTTCATTATAATCTTCCTTCGGAATGACGGAATAACACTTTTTTCAAAAATTTTCCCGGATTACTGAAGCAAAATCTCCTTATACTATAAAAAACAATATTTTTTTCCTTTCGCAGTGAACTTTTCTTCAAGTGTAACTAACATTTTTATAGACTCGTCTAATAAAACGGCACATATTATACTCGAACAATATTCTTTTTAAAAGTAGACGCACAAAAATAGTTAGAATAAGAAATTAAAATACATTTAGAGAAACATACATAACAACAAATGAAAATCAGTTTTAAATCAAAAACATACTATTTCTAATGATAATCGGTGAAAAAATAATGATAAACATGAGATGAATTGCGAAGATGAGAAAAATGACTGAAGAAAGAAAAAAAGACTGTTCGACATTCAGCATTGACCGTTACGCATGCATTTGCAACTTCCAACGTATGTTTATTCCAGCACATGTAGTCTAAACGTTGGCATTTACAACCGTTTCAAAGCTGTAGTTGAAATAACAAAAAAATAGAGTGAGTATTGTTGCTGGTCTTGGTTAGCTATGTAAGACTAAAAGTAGTTGGAAAATACATATGTATTGAACATTTGATTTGATTTTTGAATTCACAGTTGACTGCATAATTATTTATTTTTGGAGGAACAATTTTTCAACAGTTTTATAAATAGATATTTTGGAGTTTTTTTAAACATATTCGGGTTATAGTTATCTTTAAGTTAAAAGGCTTTGTCTAGTCTATAAATTTATCTGGAACTTAAGGTTCCAAGTTTCAAAGTCTAAAAAATTACGATTTTTTTTCATTCCTCGAAAAAAGTTAAAGTCTTCCTCAGAACACTTTGAACCTCTGTCAACGAACTTTAACTCCGCAAAGGTTCCAAGTTTCAAAGTCTAAAAATTACGATTTTTTTCATTCCTCGGAAAAAGTTAAAGTTTTCCTCCGAACACTTTGACGACTTCAATCTTCGTGGTCCATCAATGGTGACCAGAAAGAGAGCTATTTCATGGAGACTAAATAACACCTGCTTTGCTATAAACCCAAATTTCACGAAGGCTTTATATAAAATGTATTGATCTGTGTAGAATACAACTTCGTAATCCATGTCTCTCATGTTTAGGAAGTCAAGAAAATCAAGTATTCTTCCCTACATGAGAGTTATATTTCTCTGAATTTATATTTTAATTAGGGTTCTATAAATCGACTTTCGAATAACCGAACAATCGACTTTTTGTCGAAAAATGTCGAAGTCGACTATTTTGTTCCAAAAAAGTCGATAACTGGACTATCGTCTGTGAAAGAAGTCGAAAAGTCTGAAAGTCGATAAGTCGAAAAGTCGTAAAAAGTCGTAAAAAGTCGTAAAAAGTCGAAAAGTCGGAAAAGTCGAAAACTCGATAATTGTAGAAAAGTCAAAAATTGTCGAAATTTTTAAAAAAGTAGAAAAAAAATGTCAAAAAATCTAAAATAGTCGTAAAAAAGTCGAAAAGTCGAAAAAAATCGAAAAGTCGGAATAAGTCGAAAATAGTCCAAAAGTCGAAAAGTCGACTATTTATAAAATACTTATAGTCGAAAAGTCTAAAAGTCGACTTTTAATTAAATGAAAAAAGTCGTTTTCAACTATAGAACCGTAATTTTAATACAAATTGAATTCTCAGGAAAAATGTTAGAATTTGTCCTAAATTAACCAGAGTTTTAGAAGGGGTGCAAACTAGTGCTGTAATATTCTACTACTTTTGATTACTCAATACTACTCAATACTTTTCGTTTGGGTACTCAATACTTCTCGATACTTTTAACGGTTTATTTTAAATTAAAAACGAGGAATTTTTCCTTTTTTTTAAGTAAAGTTAGACCAAACATCACACCTCTTTTGAGACATTTTATTTTTTTTAGGTTGCGTCAATAAATATTTGTTACTTTTTAACTATTATTGCAGTTTTTAAATTATTTTTACATTGATTTGATATTGCTAAGAGTTGCATTTCTAATAATGATATGATCTGTATTAGTTGTAGAGCTGTATTTTTTCACATCGTAGCCGTTAAATTTAAATAAGTTAATTCCATATACAAGTCTGAAAGTATTGAGTAACTACTTTTTAGTATTGAGTACCCAAAAAAAATAGAGCAAATACTCGATACCCGCTACTCAATACTTTAACAGCACTAGTGCAGGCAGAAACACTCCAGATTCTAGAACAGCAACTTTGGAACTTGCAATGTTGCCATTACTTCTGTGGGACATTGTTGTGATTCCAAAGTATTTCTATAAAGTTTTCAAGGACTGTTCTAAGGAAGATAGAGAAGCTTGTTCTCTAAATATTCCCTACAACTAGTTCCGAGAATGACAAATTTGAAAAAACTGGTTCCAGAACTATTCCACATAATGATTGTCGACTTCAAAACCTTTCC